CTTGCTGCCAAGGTCCTTATCTGTTTGTTTACTTGGCTTTCAGCCATCGAGAGTCTGGACTTGCTATTAAAAAACATTCTCATTAAGCGTGTCTTGGCTTTTGTTACTGGATGGAGGAGGGGGTCAGAACACATGTACATGGCGAGAGAAACAAATCTTGCAAGTTTACCAGACAGATGGCATAAGGAACAAAGTGTTACAGAATCTGGAAGTCCTGCTAGAAATACTTCTAAACCTCCTCCTAGAGGGGAGCAACAGAAACAGACCATGAAGTGGGTGTGTGGGGTCTCTAGCAATGCTTTGAGCTCTAAGCACATAGCTTATAAGCAGTATCCTGAATAACAGAAACGAGCTTCCTATAATCTTCTCGGCTGTCTTTACCACTCTCTGAGTGGACTTTCTATCCGAGGCACTGCTGCCACAAAACCAAACAGTGATGCAATTTGTTAAAACGCTCTCAATTTGTGCTTCTGTAAAAAGTGGTCAGGACAGAAGGAGAAAGATGTGCTCTCCTCATCCGACACAGGAAATGGAGACGCTGGTTTGCAAACTTCACTAAGGATGACGTGTAGAGAGACAAATTCAGATTGTTAGTCATCTACACCCCCCAGATAGTTAATACTGTTGACCACCTGTATCCTTGATACTGAGTGGAGTAGGACTATGACAGCTCTTCCTAAAATCTACGATTATCTCCTTTGTTTTATTAACATTTAGAACATTGAGAACCAGTTACTTTTCTTGCACCAGTTCACCACCTCCTTCACCTCTTCCCTATTGGCATCTTCACTGTCATCCTAGATAAGACCCACCACTGTCGTGTCATCTGCATACTTCACAATGGGATTCATAGCAGATTTGACCCAGCAGTCATGGATCACCAAGGTGAATTGTAGTGGACTCAAGACCAAGCCCTATGGGGAACCTGCATTCATCGAGATGATGGAGTTGGAGACTTTTCTTCCAACTTCTACAAACTGGGGTCTATCAATAAGGAAATCCAGTACCCAAATACATAAAGAAGTATTAAGAAATCTAACAGGTCCAGTTTGTTCACCAAATCCTGAGGAATGATGGTGGAGGGAGTGGAATAGGGGTTTTGCAACCATCCTTGCTCTACTTGACCTCTCAGCAGCCTTCAATAAAACCCCCCCATGGTATCTTTTGGGGCTGGCTCTGGGGAGTGAGGTGGGCAGCACTGTATTGTGCTGGTTCGTCTCCTTCTCCAGGATAGATGCCAGTCAGCAGGGATGGGGGAGGGTGAGAGATCCCCGTGACCCGACAAATGCGCGCCGACAAAACCGCAGCAAAAAAACCACGATGTCAAAAGCGCGCCAACAAAAGCGCGCTGACAAAAGCGCGGTTAGGGTTAGGGTTATAACATTGTTTTTGCGTCCCACTATGTTGTTTGTTGATGCTTTTGTCAGCGCGCATTTGTCGGCGCGCTTCTGTGGGCACGATTTTGATGTTGCGGTTTTGTCGTCACGGTTTTGTTGTCACGCATTTGTCTAGCGCGCATTTGTCGGTGAACCAGAGATCCCACTCCTATTTCCTACTATGTGGGCTGGGATGCCGCAGGATCTGGTGCTTTCTCCTCATTGGTTCGACCTCTATCTGAAGCTGCTGGGTGAGCTCATCCACCGCCATGGGCTGAAGTGTCATCAATATGCTAATGATACCAATTATACATCTCTGCCCCTGGTGAATTAAGTGTGATGCCTTGTTGTGGTGCCTGGAGGCTGTGAAGGTCAGGATGGGGAACAACGAGCTTCAACTGAACCTTATGTTAATTTTTCACAAGTCCCTCAGGACTTGGCTATGTCATCAGGCTTGCCCCCCCACCTAAGGGAATTGTAAGTTGTTGAGGTGGCTCCATTATTGTTAATATCTGTTGTTCTCGTCTTGCCTTTTAAACATTGTACAAGTAGCCCTTGACTTATGACTGGTCCTCAAAGTAACAACTACTGCACCCTCCCTGTGATAACATTTCAAGTGTGAGTAATTGGTTTACAACTGATTGTAGCATTAGAGGGTCACATTATCACATTTTGTGACTTTTTGTTGTTATTTTGTGCCCAGTGGATAAGCTGGATTTGGACTTACAACCAGATGTTTCACTTAATGACCACACGATTTATTTAACAACACGGGTGACTCATTTACAGATATAAAATCGGGTCTAGTCTCATGACTTATGATGCAACAAGTTACAACTAAAATTTGGGGCTCAAATGTGGTTGTAAATAAAGGACTACCTGTAATAAGTTTTTTTAAACTATGGATTTTTTACATTATTAACCTTTTTTAGTAATGTCACCCAGAGTGACACTGTAATATAAAGATTATAAATGAAGCCGTTTTAATAGTTGAGAATGACTATTTGATCATCATATTAATTATGGTGGTAAATTAGTAAATAGATGATATTATTCTCTCTCCCCCCCCCTTTTCTCTATTTCTGAATCCTGTTTTTATCATATCAAAAACATTTCTCTATTCCTATATGCTGTATTTTCTATTTGGTGAAGTTATTTTTTTCCCGTCTTATATAAACACAATATATGCATATACACAAGTGTAAATAAAACAGGCACACCAAATATTATATGCCTTCTATCTTTTTTTAAAAAAACGTGCCAAACATCAAGCTCAAGAATGAGATTGTTATGATTATTTTGCTTGTTGCTGGAGACACAACTCCATTCACGTGCCACTGAACAGCTGTTGTCCAAGGAGCAGAGAGTGTGGAGGCTGAAGAGGCATACCAAACTACCAATGGCCTTTGTTACTCCCTGGGGCATCATTCCAACCTTAGTGCCGCAAATACCAAGGCTATGAAAAAAGTTCTTTTATGATTATGAAAGGCTGCCTGCCCATTTCATGCAAAGAATAAAATACAGAAATGAGAAAGATTCTACCGTGGGTAGCAAAACCATGGCTAACGGCACCATGTATGAAGACGTTTGTGTCTCTACATACACAAACTCTTCTTGTTCATGATCCTAAAGGAGCTAGTTGCAGTTTCCTATTTCTCCTATCCAACATACCACAAAAATACAAGTAATCGCCGGGTCACGAGCATTCCCTTAGCGAATGTTCGAAGATACGTGATATGCACCCCAGTGGTGGGATTCAAATAATTTAACGACCGGTTCTCTGCCCTAATGACCATCTGGGTAGGTGGGGGCTCGGTGGTCATGTGACTGGGTGGGCGTGGCCAATTCAAGATCACTCAGGTCGATGGACGCTTCACTTTAGCTGTTACAATGTAATAAGGGTTAACCGTAGAGGCAGTTTCTGCAAGCAGGTCAATAAAGATTAGTCAAGAAACAATACTATAATGTTCCTTCCCTGCCTTCCTTACAGGATTAGCCTGTAAAGTGGAGAAAAACAAAAGGAGATTTCTTCCAACAATCGGTTCTGTTGAATACTAGCGCGGGAAAATACA